GGGAACAATAATTGTTGTGTTTAAAATTGTGTTTCTAGATTTAATTTTATTATGCAAAACTATTTCTAGTTAACTTTTTATGATAATAAGAATAATAAAATAAAGAAAATCCTATTTATAAAAAAAAAAGTATTGCTGCAACCATAACAAAGCATGTTAATGTTATTTCTTTCAAACACCTTAAGTATATCTCACAAAATAATATTGAATACACACTATTTATCACTGTGTCATGGCTTTTAATTTTGTAGTTATTGTAGCCCCTAAAATTAGAGTAAATCATTTTAAAAATTATTGAATTCTCCTTAATTTACATTTTTTTTCTACATAAATTTAAAGTGAAATAATTTTAAAATAAATAAACGTGTCAATTTAAAAAGACAAATTGCATGTGAATATTATGATATTCACATGCAATTAAAGTGATATTTTTCTAGCACATACCAGTATACAAGATTGCAACACAATTAAAATTTCAAGTGAATAATACTGTAAACTTTGTATTAAAAAGTTACACGCAATTTCGACAAGATTTTTAAATAAAATGCTAACCCTAAAAAATTAAAAATATTAAACTATTGTAAATAATTATGTTTTTTTGTTTTTTTTAACGAAGTGATTATTCACAGAGCTGTGCGGATAACGCTCGCCGTTATTCACAGATTTCGGTCTGCCAATAACGCTAAACGTTATTCACAGAATGTGATAAATAAATTAATGAATATAAAGTACAAAGTTCGTATATACATCTCCTCGGTAGAGTAGTGGTCAGTATCTCCGACCGTTACCCAGCAGACATAGGTTCGATTCCCCATCGGGGAAGCCTCATTTTTATAAATAAAATTTAAAAACAAAATATTTAATGGTTATTTCGTAGTGTTATATTATAATAATATTCTTCCTATAGCTTTCTTTTTCTGTTCACATAGTTTTATTGTTATTTTCATATAGTTTTGTTACTTATGTTACAAGTTTCAATCTATTTTGTTAGAATGTTCATTCAAGTTTCGTTAAAAAAATGTAAACAACATGGACATGCAGTATGCAGATCAGCCGCATAAACCATGTTTAAGTCAGATACAGCTGTTCTAACTGTACATTGTGATATACTTTTAGCTCTTTTGACTGTTTAATTTTCTTTGTATAATTCCACTCATAGACTTTAACATCCATTTGTTTT